CACTATTTTGGTAAACATTACCACTATTTTGGTAAACATTACCACTTTTNGGTACTAAGTTTTTGGTTAACATTACCAATGTTGTGGTTGAGTACCATTTTTTTTGTTAACATTACTATTGTTTAAGTTAAGATTACCACTATTTTGGTAAACATTACCACTTATTTGTTTAAGATTTTAATTTTTTTGGTAAAGAATACTAATTTTTTGATTAACATTACTACAGTTTTGATTAAGAATACCACTTTTTTAGTTAACATTATCACTATTTTGGTTAATACTACCACTTTTTTGGATAATACTACCACTGTTTTGGTTAAGAGTATCAATATTTTAGATAATATTATCACTTTTTTTTATTAATATTACCACTATTTTAGTTAATATTACTATAGTTTAAGTTAAATTTACTATTTTTTTGCTTAATATTATCACTGTTTAACCATAGGAGTACCACTCTTTTGGTTAAGATTACACTTTTTTGGTCAAAGTACCACTTTTTTTTGTTAAAATTTCAATTCTAATGATTAACATTACCACTTTTTTTGTTAAAATTACACTTGTTAGGTTAACATTATAATTCTTTTGATTAAAATTATCATTTTTTTGTTTAAGATTACAATTTTTGAGGTAAGTATCACTTTTGATTAACATTACCATTTTTTTGATTAATATTATCACTTTTTTGGATCGATCAAGAGCTTTTAGTGATCAAGAATTGCGATCGAATCACGAATGATCAAGAGCTGGGTAGCATCAAGATGGGATCAAGTTTGCGATCAATTGCGATCATGGGGTCAAGTAGCAACTAACAATCGGGTTTGCAATCAAGGTAGCGATCAAGATTGGGATCAAGTGCACTCTTGCGATCAAGAGTTGTGATCAAGTAGCGATTAAAATTGGGATCAAATGCACTATTGCGATCAACGGTAGCAATGAAGGGTAGCGATCAAGAGTTTGATACCGATCGGTGCAATAGTGATCAAGACTGGGATCAAGGGATCATCGTAACAACAATCAAAATTAATATATTTAATTAACATAACAAATTAATAGTACATTAATTAGAACATTCAATTTATCAAATTAACATTAAAATTTCACTTAATTAATATTAAATTCATCTAATTTATATATCCATAATTATTCAATTAACATCCAATAAAAATTCACTTTATTAAACTAACATTCAATTTCATCCGATCTATATTTAATGAGAGAATTATACCTAGATTTTTCACTTAATCACTCACCTGATATTTGAAATATTACACATAGATCCCTTAAAATTTGTGCATATAACAGTTAGACCCCGTTATAAATATATTAGTTAATAAATAACATTTAGACCCCATTAAAATATGTAGATATATAATACTTAAACCACTTGACTTTAAAATGTCATTTGCAGGTGGCCAAATGATTATATTAAAAAGGGCAAATAAAAGCAAGCATTGAGCTGTTAATTCGATCAGGTCAAAGATATATGAGCACCTCGTGGACTGACCGGTAACAAAGTAATGGACGGGTTCATTAATTGGATCCACAACAAGAGTATCCTTGCTAACCGAATAACAACCATTCAATTTATAGATATCTAATTATATTATAAATTTATTAAAATTTTATTTTATTAAATAGATTAATTAAATCATTTATATTATTTCATACCGAAAAATAATATATGTTTGATCGATCATGAACTTTTTGTCTCTCTATCTTGCCGTCATTAAGTCAATTGAGAGCAAAATTACAACATTACCGGGAAGTTTACGACTATATTGAACAAAATTACAATATTAGTCAATTTTATAACAGTAGTGAATAAAATTATCAAATTTGTGGGAATATTTATAATTTCAGTGATATATTTACCAAATTTGTAAGAATATTTACAATTTTAGTGGTATGTTTACTAAATTTGTGATAATCTTTACAATTTAAATGGATTCATTATTAGTTCATGATCGATCAAATATATATTTCATCAATCATGGACTTTCTGTCTCTCTCTCTACACCACAAATATGGTGAGAATATTTACCAAATTTATGAGAATATTTACAACTTCAGTGGTATGTTTACCAAATTTGTGAAAATCTTTACAACTTCAATTGATTCATTATTAGTAAATGATCGATTAAATATATGTTTGATTGATCATAGACTTTTTGTCTNTGTTTACCAAATTTGTGAAAATCTTTACAACTTCAATTGATTCATTATTAGTAAATAATCGATTAAATATATGTTTGATTGATCATAGACTTTCTGTGTNATGAGAATATTTACAACTTCAGTGGTATGTTTACCAAATTTGTGAAAATCTTTACAACTTCAATTGATTCATTATTAGTAAATGATCGATTAAATATATGTTTGATTGATCATAGACTTTTTGTCTCTCACTTTATGATTGTTTTGTTATAACATTAATGAAAAATTTATAAGAGTAGTAGAAAAATTACCACAATAGTGGTACAAATTACAATATTAGTGAAAAATTTACAACAATAATAGAAAAAAATTATGAATATTTATGATCTGTCACAAGAATTTGATAGATCAAATTGTTGTTTGATAGATCAATCAACAATTTGATTGATTTTTCAAAATTCAATTTTAAAATATGTTTAATAAAAATTTAATTTTAATTTTAAAAAAAAATTGGATAAATNAAAATTATGAATATTTATTATCTGTCACAAGAATTTGATAGATCAAATTGTTGTTTGATAGATCAATCAACAATTTGATTGATTTTTCAAAATTCAATTTTAAAATATGTTTAATAAAAATTTAATTTTAATTTTTAAAAAAAAATTGGATAAATTTTTAAAAAAAATTTAAAATTAAATTTTTATTAAACATATTTTTGATAGATCAATTAAACAAATAAATTTGGTAACATATATTACTGAAGTTATAATTATTTAAATCTATCTAAAAAAGTAAAATCCTATATATATTAAATTATTATATATATATATATATATAATTATCTGGTTGAATTTTAAGGTTCAATATATGTTATATTTTATTTTTGGGTATGAAATAATATAAATGATTTGANTTAAATTTTTATTAAACATATTTTTGATAGATCAATTAAACAAATAAATTTGGTAATATATATTACTGAAGTTATAATTATTTAAATCTATCTAAAAAAGTAAAATCATATATATATTAAATTATTATATAGATATAATTATCAGGTTGAATTTTAAGGTTCAATATATGTTATGTTTTATTTTTGGGTATGAAATAATATAAATGATTTGATTAATTAGTTTAATAAAATAAAATAAATAAATTTATAATATAATTAGATATCTATAAATTGAATGGTTGTTATTCGGTTTGCAAGGATACTGTTGTTGTGGATCCAATTAATGAACCCGTCCATAACTTTGTTACCGGTAGGTCAAACGAGGTGCTCATATATCTTTGACCTGATCGAATTAGCAGCTCATTTGGTCACCTGCANAATTTATAATATAATTAGATATCTATAAATTGAATGGTTGTTATTCGGTTTGCAAGAATACTATTGTTGTGGATCCAATTAATGAACCCGTCCATAACTTTGTTACCGGTAAGTCAAACGAGGTGCTCATATATCTTTGACCTGATCGAATTAGCAGCTCATTTGGTCACCTGCAAATGACATTGCACCTGGTTTTGGAAAATCGATCTGTTATTATTTTAACTTCATTTTCTCATATAACATTATTTATTTATATATATATATATATATATTTTTTTTTTTTTCAATTTTCTCCCCCGACAGAATATATGTTATATATTGAATTTTATTTTCATTGTAATTTCAATTGAATCTATAATTTTATTTAATTATAAGAGAAATGATCATTAAACCAGCTTTCAAGATAATTGTCGAGCATTAAAAAAGGACAAAGAATACACCAAAAACCCAAATCATGACATAATTACAAGAAACGAAGCCACCTNTTTTTCAATTTTCTCCCCCGACAGAATATATGTTATATATTGAATTTTATTTTCATCGTAATTTCAATTGAATCTATAATTTTATTTAATTATAAGAGAAATGATCATTAAACCAGCTGTCAAGATAATTGTCGAGCATTAAAAAAGGACAAAGAATACACCAAAAACCCAAATCATGACATAATTACAAGAAACGAAGCCACCTAAATGGGAACAAATTCGAGACTCAACAGTGCTGGCCCACCTTTTGTAAAACGCTACTCCAATCACAATCCTCCACGTTTTAAACCAACTAAATTCCAACACCTCTTGACCACCGGTCATTCAAGTAAGCCCTCATACTTAATTTCCCCCAGCCTTCCTCTCTCCTGCTCAGACCCCTGGAACCAGAGCCCATCCCTCTTCATAACTTCAACCACACCTTCCATAGCCCATNCCTCCACGTTTTAAACCAACTAAATTCCAACACCTCTTGACCACCGGTCATTCAAGCAAGCCCTCATACTTAATTTCCCCCAGCCTTCCTCTCTCCTGCTCAGACCCCTGGAACCAGAGCCCATCCCTCTTCATAACTTCAACCACACCTTCCATAGCCTCTCTCTCTCTCTCTCTCTCTCATCAATTCGATTCCATTAAATTCATGGACACAATCTGAACCCACCCACCATATGTGAAAACCCTAAAAAACTTTATAAACAAAGGTGTCTTCTTTGTTTCTCTCTTGAGGAGTATTCTATTCTATTCTCTTCTCCACCGTCGGCAAAAATAATTGGTTTCCTGGGTCTCGTCGCCGGTCACCGACGAGAACGATGATTCAGACTGTGACATATTACCTATCGGAACACCCATCAATTGTCGGTTTCCGGTGGAGCTCCACCCAATTATGGGGCTCCACCTGGTCCTTCCTCTTCATCTCCATAGCCGCCTACGTAACCCTATCCCTCTTCCTCCACCTCCTTCTCCTGCTCTTCCGCATTCGCCGCCCCGTCCCACTAGGTCCCATCCCCGCCGTCCATTCTCTCTCCATGGCACTAATTTCTGCAACCATCTTCACCGGAGTCCTCTTCTCCGCCGCCGCAGAGATTCGTGACACACGGTGGTTCTGGCGTCGCTCCAAAACCACCCCATTCCAGTGGCTCCTTTGCTTCCCTCTCGGGACACGCCCATCTGGGCGTGTCTTCTTCTGGTCATACATGTTCTACCTCTCTCGCTTCCTCCACACCCTCCGGACCTACTTCACCATTCTCCGGCGTCGGAAAATCACATTTTTCCGGCTATTCAACCATTCTATCCTTATCTTCATGTCGTTTCTCTGGCTTGAATTCTCTCAATCTTTTCAAGTCCTCGGAATCCTTCTGACCACCTCCGTGTACTCGGTGGTTTATGGGTACAGATTTTGGACGGCGATTGGGCTACCAAGTGCATGCTTTCCCTTTGTGATCAATTGCCAGATTGTTCTTCTGTGTTGCAATCTTCTCTGTCATGTTGGTGTTCTTTTGCTGCATTTCATCAAAGGTGGGTGCAATGGAATTGGGGCTTGGGTGTTCAACTCCGTGCTCAACGCTGCAATTCTCTTTCTTATCTTGAACTTCTATGTGAAGATGCATTTCAGGAAGAAAAATGTCGGTGGTGATCATTGCAAGGCCATGAAGGAGACAGAAATGGTAGTTTGTATTTTAAACAAACTTCAAATAAAGTTCATATTGCGCTTGTATAAAATTAAACCCAAATGATTTGTTTTGTTTAATAGCCCTAAACATAAGGGTGTCAATAGTGTCGTATTCATGTAACCCACATTTCATGTCATCGTTATTCGTATCTTATTCATGTCAACACCTATGAAAAAAAAATTTATTTATTATGTTCTGAGTAATAAACATTAGTATAGACTACTTATAATGCATATTTAACAATCGTGTCAATTTTACAATCGTTCGTGTCATGTCAATGGATCAGAACTGACACCCCTATCTAAGCACATCTAATCAGATCATAGCTTCTGATGATTTAAACAGCAAGCCAATTGCAATAAACTTATGTGGTAAGAGGTCCTCGTGCTTTCAAATGCTTTTTTTTGNTCAGAACTGACACCCCTATCTAAGCACATCTAATCAGATCATAGCTTCTGATGATTTAAACAGCAAGCCAATTGCAATAAACTTATGTGGTAAGAGGTCCTCGTGCTTTCAAATGCTTTTTTTTGTATTTTTTTTATTTATTTGAATGCACATGTATATTTATGATGAATTTGATAACAATAGATCCATCACTTGTATAGTTCTTGGTCAACCAATTTTTGCCAAGTATATATAAATATTATCAAATCTATGTTGTGTTCATATTATTCAAATCAAAGCATGTCGCTTCGAAATTTCAAGGGCCAGCCAGCCTATCCCTTCAATTTAAGCATGAATAATTAAATTGAGTTGTGTATGTATCTCACATAAATAAAGATGAGGAAATGCACACAAGATAAGAACCCATGTCATGCATCTAAAGGATAACCGTTCCTGACTACTCTTGCTTCGTGTATAAATTATTGTTCAGGTCTAAAATATAAAATTTTAGGAATATTCAATATATTGATATTTGATATCCAGAGATTTTTGCTAAAGGAGAGTCACATGATAGAATTTGAAGAAAGACGGGAGATAATTAGTTGTAGTCATTTTGAAAAGAATGAAGTAATTAATTGGGAGTTATTAAGTAATTGTTAATGGAAGCAAAACTGTCGAAGAAAATGCCTATAAAAAAAGACATTCAGTAAGTAAAGAAGAAAAAGCACATTTCAAACTCCCAAAAGACTCATAATTTGGGCATCATTAGGAGTAGTTTTAAGTTAATTTAAGAGCAGTTAATATTGTAATCAAGGTTATTTCATTCAGTCTTTTCTATTGGATTGATAAAAGAATTTCATTTTATTAGTACTTTGTTTTAATTTCTCATTTGCATAGTAAGATTCTTCAATGTTTTCATCTAAGAAAGTTCTAAAATAAGACATTTGAATCCATTCTAAACAATTGCTTAAAAATTATCTATCGATTGAGAGATTTTCATCGATCCCAACATATTTTGGAGCAACAATTACATAAGATAATTATCCTATGCCATCACAAAACTCATGTTTATAATTGGATTTGTGAGAAATAAGTGGTAGACAACCCGTACATTTTTTTGAAGTGGCTAATCTCAAATGCAAACCCACACAAAGTACAGAGACACACATATAATACATAGACTCGTTACGTGCGAAATTGTTCATACATTAATTCTATATAGAAGTCAGAAGGCATAATAAGAAAGTCTATCTATCCAAATGAAGTAATGGATGTGCATGGAACATGATCATAACCACCTATAATAAATAAGGAAGAATTTTCTTTCTGCCTCATTGTAGGTAATGGTTGAGGGGCGATAGATTTCATTTGGTCTTCCTATTATGTTTTGGCAATCTTATCATCTAGCTAAGTACCTAAAAACTCAAAGAAACACAAGTGTCTTTGCTCATATGTTCCACCTGTATATTGATTACAAAATGGAGATTTGTAACCATAATGGAATATGTAATAATAGACAATACATGTACCCAAGGTTGCATGCCAACCATTGATAGTATATCATGTATCTACTGGTAGACAAGGCTTTGGGATAATAGGATTGCTTCATTGGTCGCACTCTTTGCGTTGGACATGGTTGGAGATCCAATGAAGACCCATATGGTATAGGATGAAGTCGGAGAAGAAGCCAGAAATTTTAAATTGAGGGGTCAAATCAAACTAAGAATAAACATGGTATAGGATGAAGTGGGTGAAAAAAATGAATATCCGTATTTTAAGGGAGCCAACGCAATCATTTTCTAAAATGACAACAACGGAGGGGTCAAAATATAATTCCAAAATCCTTCAAAACAGTCAACACTCCCGCTTTGTATGTGAATTCGTGTTTTGAGGGCGAATTCGTAAATTTATAAATTCACACTCTTATTTACTTATATGCTTACTCGTTAGTATTAATATTTTTTTTTAAAGTATTAACTCATACAAAAAAATACGTATCAAACTAAAATGATATTTATAAGTTATAACCTATAATCAATATATATTAAAANTCGTCCATTGTGAGCTAACTAATCAAAGACTGAGGGGTGTTCAAAGAAATAAAAATAAAATTCTACGCTGACAATGAAATTTATGTATTCCTCCTTAGTTCCTTTCCTTATTGTATTTCTCCTCTTTTTNAAAAATTCTAGGCTGAGAATGAAATTTATGTATTCCTCCTTAGTTCCTTTCCTTATTGTATTTCTCCTCTTTTTATTCTTTCAAACGTAGGTAAAAGAAGAAATATCTACATTCTACACCAAGCACAACTTAGACGCGCTTCCGCATTGAAAGTTTCAAACATGGTGATAGTGACTAGAGTTTAGAGTCTTTAGACCGTCCAACCAAGGACGTAGCCGGTGGGCTGAAGCCCAGAATTAAAAAAAAAAAAATTTATTAGTAGGGTATATGTATTATATATTTATATAATATATTATGTGTGACTCTCATTTATATTAGGCCCATATTAAAATCTATCCAAACCTATTACAAAAACTTTTGACCCAACATTAAAAACAAATTTTTTGGGCCACAATTAAAAAACAAAATTTTTGGACCATTAGTGGGCTATGCTTATGAGTTTACATTTATATTGTGTTAGTTGTATAAGTATAAACAAAAATCCTAATANATTAAAAACAAATTTTTTGGGCCACATTTAAAAAACAAAATTTTTGGACCATTAATGGGCTATGTTTATGAGTTTACATTTATATTGTGTTAGTTGTATAAGTATAAACAAAAATCCTAATAGCCTGGGATAAATAAAAATGCTGGCTCCGCCCTTGCGTCCAACTCTCGTTCACAGGTAGGTTCAACTATGATAACCCTTTAGGTTATAAATTAAGTTGTTTATGTTCGAAATTATACTATTGGGATCGATNTAGCCCGGGATAAATAAAAATGCTGGCTCCGCCCTTGCGTCCAACTCTCGTTCACAGGTAGGTTCAACTATGATAACCCTTTAGGTTATAAATTAAGTTGTTTATGTTCGAAATTATACTATTGGGATCGATCTTTATTGGATACCGTAGTTGTACACTTCGTTGGGGGCAGTGCGGGGAACTATCAATGGATTCAGCCCAAACTTTATCCATCCATAAATTGTGTAAGTTCAAGTTCAATCTATGATGAATCGGGTTTGAGTGAGCGATGAATCCACTTGCGCTTACATGATGTTCGAACTCGTTTCTAGTACCCTTAATGCTTGAGAAAGTTCTCTCCCCCCCCCCCCCCT